ACCAAATCATCTCCCTCACTGCAACCCACCATGCATCCATCCAAACCCTAAACAAACAAACAAGCAAAGCCTAAATAACTCCAAATCCATACCAAATATGATGAAAGTTTACATACATATATATGTTTATATATGCAAAGCAAGAGTGAAGAGTGGATTCAGGAGAGCTACAGAGAAGGTTCAGCTCTCTCTCTCAATGATATTTATTGGTGGACCATCTCTCCTGTTAACCCACATGGCTGCTGCTCTCGTAAGTCTTACCTACCTATCTCTTCTTTTTCTTACCTTTGTTTTAGGTAGGGAGGAGGAAGGTGGAAGACTTTTCATTAATGGCTGCCGTGAACTTTCAATGGTCTATCATGTGTTTGTTGGGTGGATGTAGCCAAGTCTAAAAGTGAATAAAGATTTGTTGATTAATTGTTAGTGGGGCTGTCAACAATTCGATATGGAGTCATGCTGGTATTGATTTTGAATAAATTTAGTGCGGCTAGAAATTGGCTCGTGGGTTGTTATTTTCAATTTCGAACTGAGCCTATTTAAAATTGAATCGAGCTTTGTTCAGTTCAAATTGAGTTATTTGGATTCAATTTAGCTCGGAATCGGCTCAGTCCAAGTAATTTGGATCTGTTCCACGTCAAAATTGTCTTATGACTTGTTATATTCAACTCTTCCTAGCATTACATATATATATATATATGTATATATATATATATAAACCAAAATTTTGACTCGTAGCTCAGCTTATTCATTTATTTTGATCCGAGTCAAAATTCGAATCGACTTTCGGGCGATTAACAGTCTTCAAGCTATATTCACAACCCTAATTATTAGTGATCAAGTTTTATTTTGGAGCTCATGTCCTATCGGAAAATAACAAAAAAATTTATCTTTGAAATGAGTTTTAGTAATTTGTTTAGATTTAATTTTATTTTTTGGTCAAAAATATGAAAAAATATTAGAATGAAAGAAAAAAAAATTAAATAAAAGTGGTCTTAGTACCCCTTTATATAGATTTGAACCAACAATGTAAGATAATAATTAAAAGAAGAGAGTAAAATTTGGTTACAAATGGACAAGGTTAATTTAATAATTACAATATGTATAAGCATCTATATTTAAATTTATCTTTTACCTTTAGAGATCAAAATTGTAAGTATTTTGTATGATTAAATATTCATTTTTTTTTATTATTTATGTCACAAGTCTTGTACAAATTTAAAACATATAAAACCATAATAACATCATGAACAACTACTAGGAATGCATATTAGCAAATTTCTTACCATTGTCCATTGACACTTAGACCATATCAAAATAGCTCAGCATATACCTTTGTATTGTGGTTGAGTTAAATAGATTGTCAATGTCATACATAGACCTTTTTTTTTTATCTCAATTCATAATATTGTGCAAAAAAATCAACATATACCTTTGTATTGTGGTTGAGTTAAATAGATTGTCAATGTGATATATAGACCTTTTGTTGTCTCCATTCATAATATTGTGCAAAAAAAATTATTCGTGAAAGCTAAATCATTATTGATAATTTTTTTCCTAACAACATATTAAGTTGTCAACTTTGAACCCTGTTGGTATGTAGCCAATACATTCAATATCTCTGATAATTTTAAGCATAACACATGTTTGATTTTTGATTCACTCACAACACCTATCATATATATAGCATCTATGACACATTTGCTAGTTAATGTTGTTAATATTAACAATTAATATTATCTTAATGAAAATTATAATCTTGAAATACTTTTCTCTAAAGACTATATGTTCTTAAGCGATACATATATCTTTAAAGCTTTCATTACCCTAAAAAAAAAACAAGCTCCTTAGTTTAGTCTTGACTGAATCTTTTTTTTATTGTTTTTAGATAGTGCGATATGTATGTTTGAAATATTATGTACCAAATTAAGAAACTTAAGGATATCATCTTTTCTAGAGATATAAAAAAAAATTAGATGTAGATTAAAGTTATTTTATCTAAGACATGTTTTATTGGAGTTATTTGGATTGCTCTAAGTGTTTGCATAAGTTAATGATTCAAGAGTAATGTCTGAACTAAGCATTCATAGACTTGAGAAAACTACAAGTCCAAAGCTTAATCAAAAACTTAAATATAAAGGGGTACAAGTCAATGTCATACTCAATGCTGGCCTAAGAGTGACTAGGGTTGGTTTAGTATGATAGGTCTCAAACTTTTGTTATTTTGAAGTTGTATGAACATTAGGCCAACCAAGAGCTGAGTCGAGGTATAGTATTTTGTTTACCTAATTAAAATGGAAAATCTAGTGTCTAGTCCCTCTTATGGTGTATGATAGAACCAACTTCTTAATTATGCTTTCTTGTTGTGTTAGGTTATTCCTAGGCTAACAAAATAAGCTTAATATAAGACTTGCATTTAAGTTTGTCCATGATGTAAGAAGTACATAATAGGTTGATGAATCATGCTAAGGTAATTTAGAAAAAAATATTTTGTAAAATTAATGAGATTGGTTAATATGCTAGGGCTATAATGAGAAAGTTTAGTAGATCCACTTATGTTTTATATGCTCAAGGTTTTCCTTAACTAGGACTTGATTGATACTGCTCATAATAAGAGTATAAGAACACTCAAGTGTAAATGTACTAGTTTTGGTCCACTCATAAGACTAGGTTAGGACTAAACCTAACCATAATTAAGCCTAATTAGCCAAGGTTTAGATATAGGTTGCAGTATCCAATGATGAGACTAAGGTTAGTCGCATTAGTATCAAAAAAAAAAAAAAAACAGAAGGAAGATTTACATACATACCACTCAATTCATATATATTTACATCTAAACTTCAATTTTTACATATATGCTGCCTTACCTATTCATGAAAAGCCATATTTCTCTTTTTAAAAGTTATAGTGATGTTTTTTATGTTATATGAAAGGTTATAAATGTAAAGTAAAATTTAGGTGTTAGATTTGGACCTTCAGCATCAATCTTTAAATAAATAGTGTATTTACATATCTAGCACTTAAGTCTTGCCTTTTACATTTCTACCATCCAAATCTTCATATCGCATAAAAAATATCACTATTTTAACTTTTAAAAATGAGCACACATTTTCATACATGATTGAAGTGGCATATACGTAAAAAAAAATGAAGTTCGGGCGCTAGATATGTAGATACATAAAAATTGAGTGGTGCGTATTAAATAAATAAATACTCATTCAAATTAGAAATTTATCAATAGATACATACACACCACTCGATTTGTACGTATTTACATATATACCCAACACCTGAACTTCAATTTTTACATACATGACAAAAGTTACCCAAGCACGACTTCTTGAAATTTAAACATGTGATACTTTAAACGTAATATGAAAGATTTGAATGGTATAAATGTAAAAAAAAAAATGAAGTTTAGGTATTAGTTAGATATGTAAATACATACTAATTGGGAGGGGTATATGTGTAAATGTGCCTTAAAATAATAAGCAAAAAAAAAAAAAGATATGTAAATACATACTAATTGGGAGGGGTATATGTCTAAATGTTGGTGAAAGCTCCCCTTAACTAACTGCCCCTTGGATTCTAAGAATTACAGCTAGAGAATTGTGGAAAGCTGCTTCTCTGCTTGAAATGGCAGCACTGTCAGTCCATATTGATCTATGAAGCCTTCTCATTTATGTTTCCTTCTAAAGAAGATAGGGTTTGAATTTAATGCATCACATGGGGGGAGGGGAAGGGCTTTACCAAACCATATTGTGAGCATCTTGTGCTAGATTCCTTTAAATGATTGAATTTCTTTGTGGATATGGGCTTAAATGATGCCCAAACATGGTTTTTTTATTTTTTATTTTTTATTATTTTTTGGTGTTTGAAAGATTTTTCAAGAACTATAAATATATTTCATTAAGATAAAGAAAGATTTTGATTTTAGTCGTTGTTGTTGGAGATTAGAGGTGTCAGCATAATTTTTTGTTCGTAAACAACTCATGTTCAGCTTGTTAAGTAATCGTGTTTGAATTGTTGGTTGAGTAAATGAGTGGAACGTGAATAAATTATTTAACAAGTTAAACGTGAACAACCCTTTGTTAATTCTTTGTTTCGGCTTGTCTTAGTTTGAAATAATGAAATTTTTTATATTATTTACGTAATATATTATTAGATTTATTTAAATGTAAGTTTGAATCATAACAAGCTCATGTAGTCATATAGTTCTGCACTTTCTATTGCATAGAATTGATGCAAGTTTGAATCCAACAAATAATAAGTGACGACAATCGCAACACAACAGACTGACAGCTCTCTCTCATTCTCTCAGCACATCGTAAAACACGAACACATTCTTATATATAAATATATATATAATTACAAATATTTTCCATTTCAAATTAAAGAGAAGCATACAAATTATAAGAGAAGAACAAAATGAATTTCATATAAGAAACCAGAGTTCACATTACTGACCAAACCAAGCCAAGGACCCCTATTTTGGCAATCCTTCTAAATTCCACTCCATAAGTCTCTTCAATATCTCAAGTAAATGCACAGCAATAAAGCAAAAAAGAAAATCATTCATACTCTCAGATTTTCAATCAACACCAACCAATACATATAATTCACATTTCCTGACCCAACTATAATAATAACTTAACATAATATTTCAAATCTTTATTCTCTAAAGCACAAGCATTAAATTGTGAAATATTACATTGAAGTTCTCAGTTCAAGGTCAGCTTATAATGAATCTTTGACACAGAAGAAGAATGAAGCAAAACAAACTGCTCTGAGAGGATAATTAGCAGCAAAATTTGCCTACAGAAAGTTCTGCAGGAAGATGAGCACAAAATATAGGATGCAGGCTGGTCTAATCCAGCTCTATTGATTCAGGAGATTTAAAATTTCATTGTGCTTATGTTTGTGATGCGGGTCGCGTTTCCCGCAATACCGCAGTTCCATGGTATTGGCTCCTGCAATCGTGAGAGACCCACTGCCGAAAGAGATTTATTTTATTTCCCTTATTTTTCATCAAGTTTTCTTCATTTGCTTCTTTTTTTTTCTAGTTCTTATCCATTTCTTTAGTTTCTAATTAGGTTCTTTTCTATTAGGAGACTTTTATATAGGTTGTATTCAGGTTTTTGGATTCTTAGCTAGTTTTTATGTATATTGGGTGATATTTATCTGATTTATACTTTCCAGTGTAGTAGCGTCTTCCTTTTGTAAAGGGTGTATTTGTAGCTTGTTTAGGAACAGATGGGGGAACAACATCGCTGTCCGCACCTTGTCACTTGCTGTTTATAGCGAGAAACTGCCTTTTTTTTCAGCATACGGTTTGCTGTCCTGTTGCTGCTCATGTTTATTTTCATCCTCCCACTCATGTAATCAGATCCTAAAACTTTCTTAACATCTTTTGTGATCTATCACACCTTCTAAGAGGCCAAGAAAGGTGTCATTTGGTATCAGATAGTCAGAATCTCGATTGGAAGATCGAGCCGTTATGCCGCCAAGGAGAAACTTTTAATGAGGCGTTTAGGAAATTACTAGGGAAGACATGCAACAGGAAATCCTTTAATTGCAACCAAGGCTTGCTGACTTTGAAAGAAGGCGGCATGGGAAAGTCACCCATGAAAATAATGGTGACCGACAGATAAAAGGAAAAGAAGAAAACTTTTTCCATTGAGAAGCTGCAAGTGACGAAGAGCCCATGCCGTGTTGATTTGACGTTAATATAGGAGAGATGGTGATTTTGGAGTAAAAGTAGATTTACCAGATTTTGATGATCGCATGATCTGAACGATTTCATCGAGTGGCTCCAAATAGTGGAACAAGCCTTCAAATACAAGAACATTTTACCTGACAAAAAGGTAAATGTTAGTCGTCATCAAGTTAAAGGGTTTAGGATACAAGAACATTCCAAATACTGAATGGGGCTTTGAATACAGAGATATTCCACCTAAAAGAAGGGTAAAACCAGCCGTCATTAAGTTAAAGAAGAGTGCATCTCTATGGCGAAAAATTTTAAAACACCTATACCAATAAAAAAGAGAAAATTCACAACCATGTCCCATATGAAAAGGGAGATGTAGTGCAAATATCTACCTGTACATTACCGATAAAACGTGTTTTTGAGGATTCATCACTTACAACAAAAAGATCTTTCAGTAGAAGGGTACACTGTTGAGTTCGAGCAGAATATGTTGATGTGGGAACTAGTAGGCCTGATAAGAACAACATAGCCCAATATCTAAGGGGATTGAGATTGTCTATTGGCAATGTGATATATTTGTAATCTTATTCGACCTTACAGAATATCTAGATCTTGGCCTTGAAGGTGAAAATATAACATCACAAGTCCGCACAGTCTTCCAAATTAGATTCGGCCATCAGATCAAGAAGCAAGAGCACACTGACCAGAGTACCCATGCCCACCCCTCGCGAAGAGAAGCTAGCACTCGAGAAAAAAGAGGACTTAGCCTTGAAGGTGAAGAGACAACATCACAACATCTAGTCCACACAGTCTTCCAAACTAAATTCAGCCTTCATATCAAGTAGCAAGGGCACACTGACCAAAGTACCCATGCCCAGCCCTGGTGAAGAGAAGCTAGCAAGCGATGAAAAGAGAACTGATCAGAATAGTACTCCCAAGACATTCCCAGCCAAGAAATGTTTCAAATGTCATGGATATGAGCACATTGCATTCAATTATCTGAACATGAGAGTGATTTCTTTTACTGGGAAGGGTGCAATGGATAACACAGAGAATAAAAACCCAAAAGAGAAGGAATGTAGAGGAGTATCAATTACTCGTAGATGACAGTGAGATGCTTGTGGTTCGACGAGCCCTTCAAATAGAGCCTAAGAGAAATCAGTAGTGGCTCAGGCATAACATCTTCTATACCTGTTATACTAAAAAAAGAAAGGTGTAGCCACAATATAGATGAAATCAATTATGAAAATGTGACATCTATATGGATAATAAACAAATTGAGCCTTACTACACAGAAGCATTCCTAACCATACTCTTAACTTGGTTGAATAAAGGAAATAAGATATGTGTCAATAAGAGATGTCTGGTGGAATTTTCAATTGGAGACAGGTTGCAGGATCAAGTTTGTTGTGATGTCATCCCTATGGATGCATGCCATGTTCTGTTGGGTCGACCGTGACAATACAAGAGGTACACTTCACGATGGTCACAAAAATACCTACACAATTAATAAGGATGTGAAACATTATACTTTCGCCCTTAAAGCAGTCAACAATGATGAGCACTTAAATAGAGATTGGAGCCAATGAACCTAGTGCAATATTTTTACAAGTTATCAGATAGGCGTCTTTGGGACTGATCTTGGTGATGCTAGAAGACAGTGATATAAAGTAACCGATATCTAAGGCAATGCAATCATTACTAGAAGAGCTTCAGGATGTTCTAACTAACGTTATGGCACCTGGTTTGCCACCACAACACGAGATATATCATGATATAGATCTCATCCCAGTATCAGTGCTCCCTGACCGACCAACCTATTAGATGTGACCATCGACAGAGTATGAGCTACAAAAACAAGTTGAGGATCTGATAGTTTGAGAACTAGTTCGCGAGAGCTAGTCTGTTTTGTGTCAACTTTGACGTGCCTAAAATGAATGGATCATGGCTTATGTGTATAGGAGGGCGGTGAACAAATATCATCTCTATTCTAAGATCGTTAGTTCTAAGGTGCTAAAAGACTTGTATGCAACTACGAAGATTTTTGGGACATTTCGATACAATGCCAGGAAAGGCTGTATGAGCAAATATCGTAGATCTGAGGGATACCTATTCTTCCAGAACAAATTACTCATTCCTAGGAGTTCGCTCAGGGAGAACATTTTGCAAGAATGTCATAGCGAAGGAATGATAAGGATATGTTGGTAGAGACAATACACTCTCCTTAGTAAAAGAGAATTTTTATTCACCCAGATTGGTACGAGATATAGACAGACATATAAAATAGTGCAGAGTATGTCATTTGGCTAAGAGTCGAGGTCAAAGTACCAGGCTATACACTCCCCCTCATGTTAGACGTGAGGATGGAAAGGTACTATGGTGTTAGGGAACAAAAATTTCCCCACCAGGATCAAGTGAACTATGGTACAATAGGTGGCATGATGAAGAGTGAAGAAAAGAATTTCAAATGAAGGACCACAAAGTCCGCCATAAGGAAAAAAAACCATCAAGTCAAACTTATTAAATTACTAACAAAGCAAGTAATCTAATATGAATTAAACAATTCATTCCATTTCATCACAAAAGAACTTATTAAATTATAAAGCATATAATTTGAAGTAATAAGCAATGACTTTTTTGAATATATATAAGATGATGATTTAAATGCATACCTCTCTTCCTCAAGATTGACATTTCATCTTCTAAGATTCATGAATTGAAAATAAAGTCATCTACTCCACACACTAAAGAGCTAAATTTAGTAGTCTTCATAAAGAAGCTACTTCAAATTCACTCCAAATCTTCAAGAACACTCTTCCTAATCATGAAGATATATTTTCACCAAACTTAAAGTACAATTCACAAAAATTTATTAAAACAACATTAGTCATCCTACATCAACTCTCCCCAAACTTAAAGAATTCTACCTCATAGAGATTATGCATTGATAAAGTTGAAAAGAAATATAAAATGCAAATATATCAACAAAATATAATATTGCAAGGTTAGAAAAATAAATACGTAAATGCAATGATACTGAAGAAATTAAGATGCAAGATAACCACATAAAATGATCCATATGATAATCAAATTTAAATTCTCACCAAATACTTTAAAGTGGGTTGGATCCTACCAAGAATCAACAAAAGCAACCATCATGCTCTTTAACTTTTGAAGAAAAAAATTTTGAGAAAAAAAACATAAAAACTAATGAAAATCAATTTAAATACTCAACAGATACTTTAAGAGGACTGGATCCCATCAAGGATCATTACAAGCAACCATCAAGCTCTTGACATCTAAGAAAAAAAAACAAAGAACTTATGAAATGCAGTGAGGGAAGAGATGAGATGCAAGGAAAGGCAATCTCACCGAAGTACAAAAAAGAATATCACAGTTGAAAGTATCAGAATTGCTACATAAAAATAAAATGAGCCACAAATTCATTGCCTAAATAATGGAAAGCATGAGCTACAGATTTATGTGTGTAACATGGAAAGAGAAGTGAGATAAATTCATATGCTTAATATGGAAGGAGTGTCACGGATTCATAAGTTTAACACGGGAAAGGGAGTGTCATAGACTTCTCCCTCCTACAAGCCAAGACATTGCTTTAGATAATAATTTTAATCTTTAAATTCCTTATATTTAGTAGTTTTCAAATAATTTTTGGATAATTTTGTGTATAAATACCCATTGAGGGTTATCAACGCAAGCTTTATAGCCACTTCTTTTATATTATAATTTTACAGCAAGGTTAGAGTCCTTTTCCAACTTTTATATTTATCCCTCTTCAACTCTTCTTCTCACGTGATGTATTATACTTTTGGCTTCCGTTACAAAGTCTATCATTAAGAAATGTGAAAATTAGACTGAAGGAAAATTCCAGATACCACTAATATCATATCCATTGAATAAAAAGAACTATCTCAAACACTCTCAAATCATACAGACCTTTGTGAAATGAATATGAAAAATTTATCATCTTATTGATCTTCTCTAAAACTAAAAGACCTAAAGTTTGCTTTTTCGAAGAAGACAAGTTACATGATCATGTCAGGGCTAACAACATAATGTTTGAAATTGGTGGACCATATAAGTTTCTAACGACCACAAAAAATATCTAGAAAATTGTTAAACAAATTTACTCAAAAGTTAAATATGTTGCTTTCATCCATGAGATCAAGACAAAACTTTCAACAACCAAGTAATAACTTCTCTGACATCGGATATTTCAATAAAATGGAAGTCATTTGGTTAGAGCTAAGATTAATATCAAGATCTTATGATGATGTATAGTAATGACATTATAGTTCTTAAATAATATGTAGTAAGAGAAAGTGTATCTGAATTACATGCATAACTCCATAACAAACTCAAACCAAATCCATATTCAAATCTTGAGCAGAGAGAACTCACCATCCTTCTCACCCATGAGAACCAAAGAAGAAAGATGGAAATGCTTGACACTCCCAAATTTGAAACATCGGCCAAGACAATCATAGAAACCCAAAGGAAAGTGATGAATGAAAAGGAAATGAATTACTCCAGAAAAAACTCTTGGAAAGCTCAAATACTTTCAGGGTATGTAAGTGGATCAATCAAAAAAGAAATTCATTTCCAAACAATGTATGTTATAGAACTTTTAAAAGAAATAAAAATGATTTATTGCATCATAGGGGTATTAATATAAATAAAAAATAATAAATTTAAGTAGATTAGAAGTGGGATCTTTGAATGCCAAAGGTGGTTTAAATGCATCTCTTCTTGAAAATTGACCTTTCATCTCCTAAACTTTTGATCTTAATATAGTTCAAAAAATGAAGCTGATGTTTCATCTTATTCACATATAGAAGAATTGAATTTAAGAGTCTTATGGAGGAACCATTTCGAGTCCTATTTAAATCTTCCTCGAAAAGCTGTATCAATTTCACTTCAAATCTTCAACAATACTCCTTACCAAATATGCACTCATCAATTTAATATATATGCTTACCCATGCATGCCTACATTTTTCTAAACAATAAACTAGATTTGGGCGGGTATCCTCATTTTTATCATGTTTTCCTATGGTGTGTAATCATGTATGGCGATGTGTAGGTAACTTGGCTGAAGATAATTGATCATGTGAGTTGAGTTACACGAG